CAGGCTTACACTGTCTCGTTCTCAAAAATAAATAAGCTTCAAAAAAAAAAAAATAAATCACAGATTCCACAGGCATAACTACACTGCTGTAGGAGCTTCTCAATGCTCACTCTTGTCTTCTGCACGTGTTGTGCTGAGGAGCTGTAACGAACATCTGGCGCCATGGCATCAGGCCATGGACCACACTTTGAGTATCACCTGCTCAGAGATAAAAAGGAAATACTAGAGGTGGAATTTTTCCCCCTCTTTGGCTTAACTTTTTCATGGTGGAGTGACACCGCTCTATGAAATGAAACTTGATTTAAAATATGTGTGGATAATAACCCCATAATAATAAAGAAATAATAATAAATATATATTTATATACATTTCCACTTAGAAATAAATATATGTATAAATTTACATTAATGAAAAATTTTTTTGATTTATTTTATTTACTTATTTATTTATTTAAAACACATAAGTGACTTGGGCTCTTTAGTTTTCCTTTTCACAAACAGCGGAAAACTCCTTGGAAAAGAAATAGAAATCTAGAGGTTTTCCAAAGGTTAGCTCACAACTATTTTCTCTTTGGTAAAATAAGCCCAGGTGACAGGAGACACATAGACTTCCTTTTAAAACATACCAGACAATGGGGCGCCTGGGTGGCTCGGTCGGTTAAGCGTCCAACTTCGGCTCAGGTCATGATCTCCCGGTCTGTGGGTTCGAGCCCCGCTTCAGGCTCTGTGCTGACAGGTCAGAGCCTGGAGCCTGCTTCAGATTCTGTGTCTCCCTCTCTCTCTCTCTGACCCTCCCCCATTCATGCTCTGTCTCTCTCTGTCTCAAAAATAAATAATAAATAAATAAATAAATAAACGTTAAAAAAAAAAAAATTCTAAAACATACCGGACAAGTGTTAGCCACCTACCGGGAAAGATTTCCTCCATCAAGTGTACAACAGTGGAAACTCAATCAATTCCATAAAGAAGTCTAAATGACGCTATCTTAGAACAATATTCTTTGTATTTCGCATATTCCCTTGAGAAAGTGCTTGACATTCTGTCCACAAGTTAGCCATACAGAGCTAACTGGTATGTATGTATTTATTTATTTATTTATTTATTTTTTAAATATGAAATTTATTGTCAAATTGGGTTCCATACACCACCCAGTGCTCATCCCAACAGGTGCCCTCCTCGATGCCCATCCCCCACCCTCCATCAACCCTCAGTTTGTTCTCAGTTTTTAAGTCTCTTGTGCTTTGGCTCCCTCCCTCTTATATTCATGAAAACTTAAAAGCAGTGAAGAAAATACATATTTCCTCCCAATCATGGTTTATAGATAAAAACACAGCTGATGTACACCGCAGCCAATCCTCCACGTGCCTGATTCTGTCACCTCTCCCACCCCCTCTCCTTCCCTGTCCACTTCCTGGAACTTCACCTCCTGTCTTCCACTCTGCTCTCCGGGCTGCCGGCCCTCAGCCTCTGACTCTCCTGCTCTCCCGCTCTCCAGCTCCCCCTAGCGGCAGGTCCCAGGCTCTGGTCCCGCCCCCCACTTGTAAGGACATTATCTCTCTGAGCAAGGTTCCTTGTGTGCGGTGATTTTGAGACCCACCTCAGAGCTGTCCTCTGAATAAATAAGATCGCCCACGTGGCAGGGGCTCCGAGAACCACTTGGGAATGTGCACCTGCAGAATGGGCCTTTCGAGCGGCACGCCCTTGTCCCCAGACACTGAGACTGGCCGTGGTCAGCCTCCCAGCCCTTGTTCCCATCTCAACCTCCCCTCTCTGGCAAATCAGGCTCCTCTTT